CCCCCCCAGCCTTCAGCTCCAGGGCCTGTCACAGGAGGTGGAACCTGGCTCCCTCTTGATACTCTCCTTTCCAGACTCGCCAGTTACAGGCTTTGCTAACCTTCCAGGATTGGCTGGGAGGCTTCTAGAACTGGCACTGGTCTGCTAGGGATGGCTGAAAGCAACCCAGGAGGACGTTTTAAGAAAATGACACTGCATCATCCCCCCAGCCTTCAGCTCCAGGGCCTGTCACAGGAGGTGGAACCTGGCTCCCTCTTGATACTCTCCTTTCCAGACTCGCCAGTTACAGGCTTTGCTAACCTTCCAGGATTGGCTGGGAGGCTTCTAGAACTGGCACTGGTCTGCTAGGGATGGCTGAAAGCAACCCAGGAGGACGTTTTAAGAAAATGACACTGCATCATGTGGAGGGGAAGAGGAAATCTCCCAGAATAGCTTCTGTCAGAGTTGGCAGCCCAACTAATGCCTGGGTCAGACTCAGCTGAGAAGTGTCTCATCAGCTGCAGACAAGGCTGGGCCCAGCACACCTTGTGGGACAGCCCCCATGAGCTGTGACCTGTATGGACATGTTTTGGGGGCAGGGACTGTCTGGTTGGTGTCTGTACAGCACCTGACACAACAGGGTCCTCTCTGTGACCAAAGCTTCTAGACACTACTTCAGTCTAAACAACAACAACAGTAGACAATGAGGTCAGCACAGTAAATATTATCCCCATATTACAGATAGGGAAACTGATGAAGGAAAAGGGTGAGTGATCTGCTCAAAGTTACGCATTAAGCAAGGCATGAAACCCAAGAGACCTGACTACCAAGCCTTTGCTCTAACCACTAAACTGCTCTCCCCTCCTCCAAGTATCTGAGCAACTTCACAGTGGGAGAAGAGGGCACCGAGGGAGCACACTGGCCTTTGGAAACTGGAAACACGCCCTCCCACTGTTAGCTTATAATCCATCTCAAACTCGCTGAGATTTCCCTTTCTCCTTGCCGTGCCATGGTACCTTGTCTGTGTTTGCGCTGTCATCCACAGCACCCCCGATCACATAGAGCTTGTTCATGCAGGGGACCACGGCCGCCGAGCTCACCGCTTCCGGCAAAGGGGCGACGACAGACCAGCTGTTGGAGTACATATCGTAGCATTCCACGCTGGCCAGGCGGTAAAAGCCATCAAACCCCCCCACTGAATAGATCTGCCAAGGAAGGAGCAGAGTTAGTTGGCAGAGCTCATGACTGGGATGGAGAGAGGGAGGAAATCATATGGCACCTAGTCCTGCACCTAACAATCCTGAAGGAATGGGACATGTACAAGAGCTGCCTTGGGGGAAGGAAAAGAGACAAAGGGGCAGAGGAGGAAGGGCTTAGAAGCCTGGATCCTCCTAATGCTAGTTACTACAGGGGCCAGGATTAGGCAATTGCTCTATAAAGAACAATAAAAAGCTTCCTGGACAGGGAGTTGCTGAGGGAGACCAAACTGGAGTAGACGGCTGCTGGGTGTATGCTGGCTCCAGCAGAAAATCCTGTCTTTAGGGAAAAGGGACACCCCTAAGTGGGAAGATCCCAGAGTATTTGTTACTTTAATAAATCCAGCCCCATAGAGGAGCACTGATGACCTGGAGAAAATTTCTATCTGGAGTTTTTAAGGGACCCTGAAAAAGAGGGGAAACTGAGTCAGGGTGCGGTAGAGACTTTCCAGGCAACAGAAGATCACACGGGAGATGTACTGTCTTGTTACTGTGTGATGGAGGGGCCTCAAAACAGAGGAGAAACCCACACCTTGAACTCCACAAAGTAAGCAACAGGATGCACCTGGGCTGCGCATTTTGCACACAAACATCTAATCCAGCTTTCTCACCACATAGCTCTGTATCCAGCAATCCTATATTGTATTGTTACAAGTATCAGATTTTATATTGGACCATTTGAGCAACAACTCTATGATGATTTTTGTCACTGACTTCGACGGAAGCAGAATTACTCCCTATATCAAACTAATCAAATGGAGTCAATTAATCCCTATAGCTCAGTTACATTAGCACAGAGATGGAAAAATCATAGTCACGTGGGACTGGAAGGACTTCAAGAAGTCACCAAGTCCAACCCCCTGCACTGTCGCAGGACCAAGTTAATCTAGACCTTCCCTCACAGGTGTTTATCCAATCTGTTCTTAAAACCCTCCAAAGATAGCGTTCCCCAACCTCCTTTGGAAGCCTAATCCAGATTTTAACTACCCACATAGAAAAGTTTTTCCAAAGATCTAATCCAGGTCTTCCTTGCTGCAGACTAAGCCTCTTACTTCTTATCCTACCTCCAGTGGAGGAGGAGAACAATTGATCACCGCTCTCCTTATAAGAGACCTCAGCATATTTGAAGACAGGTTCTCCCCTTCTTTTCCCAAAACTAAACTACTTGCTTGTAAATCACTTGATCTGCTTATTACCCTATTATCCCATAGATCAGGGGTGAGGAACCTCAGACCGTAGGACCAGATGTGGCCCTTGGCTTGTCCAGATCTGACCCCTGAGGCTTAGGGCCACCTTGCATTGGGGAGCCTGTACTGGTGCTCCAGACTTCCCCGCCGCCTGCTGCCTCACCATAGGGCTGGAGCGTACAAAATATACTAGGCTAGGTGCCCCCTAGGCTCTGGTGTGCAATGGGAATGTGGTGAGCATCTTCCTCCTTTCCAGTTGGGTGCTACATCAGTGCACAGACATTGACTGATTTTTTCTGTGGGACAGTGGCCACCGTCCTAAAAAAGGTTCCTCACCCTGACCTAGGTCTCACAAACTGATTGTTTAATCATTTGTTCCAGTGCCTTTCTGTGTATCTCAGGATGAGCAGTATTTCCCTGGGTCCTTTTTCCCCGTTTTAAAGCTACCTTTTATGTTTTGTCCCTCCCCAGTATTCTGGGACCTCTTCCGTCCCCCATGAATTCTCAAAGTTAATTACTAATCATTCCAAGATTGCATTAGCTAGTTCTTTCAGTACCCTAAAAATGAATGTTACTAGGCCCTGTTGTTAGAATACATCGAATTGGTCTAAATATTCTTGTTCTTTCCCTGTTTAGGCTTGTGTTGCTTTCCCCTAATTATCAATATTAATTCTGTGGAGTATCAGGTTACCATTAAGATTATTCATGAAGACTGAGGCTTTAAAGAAGCTCCTCTTACTGCCTTTTACGTCCCTTTCTAGGTGTAACACACTGTGTGCCTTAGCTTGTCTGATTCTGTCCCTAAGTGTTCATGCTCCTCTTTTGAACTGCTCCTTAGCAATTTGTCCATGATTTCCCTTTGTGTAGGATTCCTTTTTGACTTTCTGGTCATTGAGAAGTGCCTATTGTTCTCTTATTATGCTCCCTATCTTCCCCTCCTCTAGGGACAGTGCACAGTTGTGCTTTTAAAATTTTCTCCTGGAAAGACTGCCAGCAATACTATACCCCTTTATCCTTTACATCCATGACAGGCAACCTGTGGCCTAAAGGCCACATGTGACTCATTGGGCTTGTGTGTGTGGCTGGCAAGACATTTTGTTTTCTATTGCTCATGAACAGGGTTGCAAGATTACTCTGCTTTCTGTCCATGTCATTTTTTCATACCGGTATTACTACATGTACAGCAAGGACATCTGAGGTGAGATGAGTGCTGACTGCACACCATGTGCTCGCTCTGCATCCAGTGAAAGTGCTAATATGGTTCAACAGATGCCCCCACAAACTCTAGGCATGCCAACACAGTGGCTACGTCTACACTCGCGGCTTCTTGCGTCAGAAGCCATTTTTGCAGAAGAGGTTCTTGCGCCAGAAGGAGCTGTCTACACTGCCCCGTCTTGCACAAGAAAACCCCTCTTGCGCAATGCTGTTATTCCTGAAAATAATTGGCGTAACGGCATTGCACAAGAAAGTTTTTCTTGCGCAAGAAGGGGCAGTGTAGACATAGCCAGTTAGCAAAAGCTAGCCTATCCCAGGAGACTTTTTTGGTTACGACAATCTTGCGGCCCATTGAGATGAAGAAGGGCCACTTGCACGGCCCAGTCACTAGCCTAGGTTGCCCACTGCTGCTTTAGATTTTCTTCTCCTGGGACCTGTTCCCTGGTGTTCTGTCACATGACATATTTCTATAGGGCCTGCTATTTCCATGGGAGGAGGAATGAGTGCCAAGGCCTCCATTAATCACTTTGGCCAATAATCTACAATTCCAAGCTGCCGACTGAGAGGAATGAAGCATACGCACCTTGCCATGAAGAGTCACCATTTTGTGTCTCCATCTGCCCTTGTGCAGACAGGCAACTTTGATCCAGACATTGAGGTGGGAGCTCAGCACCCAAACATCGCTGCTGTTGATGTGCCCTCCTGGAAGACAGACACAGACACACACACACCCCATGTGATCAGGGGGTGAGCCACTGCTACGACCACCTCAAAACAGAGGCAGTGAGACAGCTTAGTGTAAATGACAAACACCCCCATGCGTTGAGGCCGCGTCTGGCATAAGGGACTGGCTTGTAAAGGCAGAAGGTGGGAAAGGAGGAGAAAGAATAGTCCCGACTGCTTTGGGGGGGGGAAGTAGGATCATATGCCTCTTATCCTGATGGTGAACCTTGGTTACTAGATGGACCACGTGTCTGAGCCAGCCTGGCAATTCCTGTGTGCAGTCCCTGGAGCATAGGCAACATTTCCTGGTGTTTCCCATGAAGCATTTGGCATGCTCTGGGTGCTATCCAATAAGGAAAGGCGCTCCCATAGTTCAGTGAGGTGTGCATACTTAGATGCTCATACTGGGTCCCATAGAGCTGGGGGACATTTCAGCGCTAGCACCGTACCAGCACTTCACATGTTATTGTTGCATAAATGCCAAATCCAAGATGAGAGGCAGACGACTGTTCATCTGTTAACTCTGCCCAACTTCGGTAATGAAACCAGGACCATAGGAAGCTTAACACAAATGAAATATTAGAGGACTCAACAACCGGACTGTCAGCACATTAGTGACTGCTGGGGAGACCCTCCAAGGGTGAGTCACATAGTGGTTGGCCCCTATGAATATGGTGGGTCTGGCTCTCTTGTGCCAGGTGAGATGCTCCCTGTTGGCCAGTTCAAAAGGCTGGACAGCACCTGTGGGCTAGAAAGCATTAGCAGGAGAATCCTGCTGAGGAAGAGGCCTTTGGGGGAAAGCTAGAGAGGAGACAGCTCCCAGGGAAGAGGCAGAAATGTTCTACACAGAGTAAAAATAACCAGTGGAAGCAAGTCTCTGAGCCCATCTCAATTGACTTGGGCTCACGGAGCTTGTATGGTGGGGCTAAAAATAGCAGAGTCCATGTTGGGACTTGGGCTGGAGCGCCATCCCCAGCCCACACGTGCACCCTGCCCTTTGCAGCCCTGCAGCACAAGCCTGACTCAGGCTGCAAGACTCCCTGCCACCAAGGTTTGTTCTGTTTTCTAATGTGTTGTTGGGCCCTCAATGTTTGGAGCTAGGGAGGGGGCTGAGGGCAGCTGAGCAGCAAGAGGGGTGGCATCCCTAAGCTGGAAAGCCAGGGTCAGAGGGCTGAAGGCAGGGGCAGGGGAGAAGGGCTGAAGGCAGGGGCGGTGTGTGAGGGGGAGAGGACAGCTTACCCAGGGACCTCCCCAGGCTGGAAAGCTGGACCCAGAGTAACTGCTTCCTTGGCAGGGATGCTCCCAGCAGAAAGGCTGTGGAGGTTCCTTGTGTAAAGAGGCTGGAAGGGTTGGGGGGCTGTCTTGGTGCACAGACAGGAGAAGAGTAAGCGGAGGGATGCCAGAGCCATGCAAGGGGTAACAGTGCCACGCCGAGGGACTCTGGGGCTGTATGTTCCATATACATTTTTGGACTATCCTGGGGGAATTCTGGACCTGGGTTGTGGAACTTTATGAGTTACGTGAGCAGGACTCACATGAAAAGTGAATCCAATAAGAGCTTTATTTACACTTGGGAAGATACACGGGACTCTTTCTGGAGACTGTGCAGGGGAGAAACTGAGGCAGGTGTGCCTGTCATGCCTTGGAGGAGGGGGCTTGAGGCAGGGATGCCCTATGACCATTCATATCTGAACAGCAGAGCTTGGAACTGTATTTGATCCAGCTGAAACTCAGATCTGCAAAACTGGGCTGCAAATCTCACAAGGGTAGCTGTGTTAGTCTGTAACTGAAAAAAAAAAAAACCCAAACCTTAAAAAAAAAAAAAACAGCAAATAGTCCTGCAGCACCTTAGAGACTAACAAAAATGTAGATGGCAACACGAGCTTTCCGGGGCACAAGAAGTAGGTTGTGCCCATGAAAGCTCATGATGCCATCTACATTTTTGTTAGTCTCTAAGGGCTCATCTAGACAATGCTAGAGTGTCGAAAAAGGATATGCAAATACCTACGGAATTTGCATATCCTCTTCGGATCTCACTTTCAAAAGCAGAGCTTTCAAAAGTGAAAGTAGTTTAGACACTGCTTTTTTGGCGAACCCCCCTCCCTTTGTCGAAAAGCTGCTCTTCCTCAAAAAATTAGGTTTACACAGCTTTTCGACAAAGGGAGGGGGGTTCGCCAAAAAAGCAGTGTCTAAACTACTTTCACTTTTGAAAGCTCTGCTTTTGAAAGTGAGATCCGAAGAGGATATGCAAATTCCGTAGGTGTTTGCATATCCTTTTTCGACACTCTAGCACCATAACAAATCAAAACTAGGTATCCCAAGGGTCGGATCAGTTATAACAGACTGGTATCTATTATCAGCTGCAGACCATACTTCATGCCATTGCAGAGAAATCTGGGCAGGGCAAGTAAGTGCACAACAGGTGCCTGAATGACAAGTACACTCTTGCATGGTCCAAATGATCTGTGTGTAGTGGTAGGCTCGGGATTGCCTGAACTGCCCAACCATTCTGGCTGTAGCAGCCTAGTGACATGGTGATGTAAAGAGCCAATGCAATGTTGGGATGCGGAAACAGGAATCTTGCATCAGAGCACAGAGGTTATTTAACTGAGTATTGAACTGAGTAGGAGCACAGAGATTCTTGCACTGGCACGACCACTGCTGGAATCCTGCCTTCAGTTCTGGTGCCCACGGCTCAAGAAGGAGGTTGATAAATGGGAGAAGGGTCAGAGAAAAGGCAGGAGAATGATGAAAGAACTAGAAAACCTGCCTTAGAGTGGGGCTCAGGGATCTCAATCTGCTTAGTTTAACAAAGAGAAGATGAAGAAGTGACAGTCTAAGTATCTACACAGAAAACCAATATTTCATCATTGAAATTACGTAGCATAGTGCCTGACTTGGCCATTTCTCTAAGATCAGGTGTACACTGGTGGAGAAAATCAACACAAGATATGGAACTCCAGCTACGTGAATTGCATAGCTGGGTCTTGCATCAATTTTAGGGGGGGGCACCCTCCTCTCAACTTCCCTCACTCCTCGCGACAGCGACAACGAGGAGTACTGCAGTTGACTGCAGTGCCCTCAGCATTCGATTTAAAGAGTCTTTACCAGACCCATTTAATTGAACCCTGGAAGATTGACCATCAGAGCGTTGATCCTCCAGTAAGTGGATACAAGGACTAAGAAATGCTTGGAGGTGCAGCCAGGGTGCTGTTGCCTGGGTTTCTCACCTGAAATATACACATCGTTCTTCAGGGTGCAGGCTGCAAACTCTGATTTGGTGTAGCCTGGTACGCTGGATAGTGCGGTCCATTGCCTGCTCTTGGGATGGTACACATCCGTGAAGGGAAGCTTCAAGAGGCCTTTCTTATCACAGCCGCCTATAACCACTATGACCTCTGCCAACTCCATGAACCTAGAAAAAGAAACACAGTTCAGACTTCCTGTTCTACTGTTGTGCTCCAAGCTTTATCCTCCTACTGTACTGCCTGGTAGGAAGCACTATAATGCCTATCACCACGAGGAGTCCCATTGGGATAGGCCGTGTTATCTGGTGGATGTGACTGTGGATTGAGAGTCAGGAGACCTGGGTTCGATTCCCAATTCTGCCACTGACTTTCTGGGTGACCTTGGGCAAGTCACTTCACCTCTCTGTCCCCTTCACGCCTTTTGTCCCTCTTCTCTTTGAGGCAGGATTTTGTTTTATTATGATCTTGTGCAATTTAAAGGCATTGTCCAGCTTCTGTTAAATAGAGTCAATGTTTAAAATGTTGTTCATGATCTTTGAAACTCTCCTCAGGCCCAGCTACCTCAAGTCCCCACTCTATGGTCGTTACCTTTGCTGACATTTATGTTCCTCATGACCAAGAAAGCTGCCAGCCTCAGGAACGAGAACAGAGACCAAGGGACACAGAGCTTTCTTGGCAGCAGGCCCAAGCAATCTCACTGCCAGAAGAGATTAGAAATGACACAGTGCAGCTTGCAGCGTTAGCTAGCAATACAATAAAAATGGAAGGAGGCATATTCCAGCCATCTGGCTAATGGAGAGAGAAGGGGAAGGATGGTTGAGAGACTGTTTCAGGGCCTGGAATAACAATTCCCTGCCTCCAGGCTGATTCCCACGGACCCGGGTCAGAAGATGTGGCAGCACCCATCCTGAGCGTGTGCATGGAATGAACACAAGCGGTGCCGTTACAGATCAGACCCTGGCCCATCAGCATTCCATCCCCGTTCAGCTGTGCAATGCAACGGACAGCGGGACTCCCTCCTGTGGACAGTAACCAAGCTGGGAGGGGTTGCAAGTGCTTTGGAGGGTGGGATTAAAATTCAAAAATGATCTGGAGAAATGGTCCGAGGTAACCAGGATGAAATGCAAGAAGGACAAATGCAAAGTACGCCAGTGAGGGAGGAACAATCGGTTGCCCACATACAGAATGGGGAATGATTGCCCAGGAAGAAGTCCTGCAGGAAGGGATCTGGGGTCACAGTGGATCACAAGTGAACTATGAGTCAATAGCAGGGGTGGGCATATTTTCTGGCCTGAGGGCCACATTAGATGTAGAAATTGTATGGAGAGCCATGTAGGGAAGGCTGGGGGAGGCTGTGCTTCCTCAGACAGGCATGGCCCCAGCCCCTGCTCCTTAGCCAGCCCTCACACCCCAACCCTGACCCACCAGAACCCCTACCCCCTAACATCCATATTCTTCACCCCGAGCCATTCCTCCCAACTCCTCCCACTCTCTATCCAATCACCCTCACTCCTTGCTATCTGATGCTCCAGGGACCCCCGACTCCCTATCCAACACCCCCCTGCTCCCTGCCCCTCCTTGGAACCTTCCCTCTCCCTCCCAAGTCTCTCCCCCACCCTGCTCTGCACTCCCTGTCCATGATGCCCAGGCACTGGGGGAGCTGAAGGTCGCAGGGGAGGCAGGCAGACGGGGAAGGGCCTGGAGCTAGCCACCCCTGTTCAATGGGCTGCCTGGGAGTTGGCTTGGCTCTTCCCAATAAGCCTGTCCTGACCCTGATCCCTGGCAGGCGCTCAGGAGCTGGACTGAAGGATCCAATGGGTTGGATGTGGCCCACAGCCACAGGCCATAGTTTGCCCCACTCTGGTCAATCCTGTAACACTGATAGAGCTGCCAACCCTTCAGGATTTGCCTGGAGTCTCCTCCCAGAATCAACATCGATCTCCTGGTGACTATTGAAAGCAGATCCTGGAGAGTTTAAGAGGCTATTTTAAGAAAAAGACATTAAGTCCTATTGGGGAAAACAGTCTCCTGGAGTGGCTTCAGTCAGAGCTGGCAACCCAAAAGACTATTGCAAAAAAAGTAACCATCATGTATTAGCAAGAAGGTTGTATGCAAGACACAAGTAGTAATTCCTCTGTTTTACTCTGCGCTGATTAGGCCTCAACTGGAGTACTGTGTCCAGTTCTAGGCACCACTTTAGGAAAGATGTGAACAAATTGCAGAAAGTCCAGAAAGAGAGCAACAAAAGTCATCTAGATGGTGTTTTTTAGACTTTTGATGGAGGATTGACTAAACTGGGTTTGCTTAGTTTGAAGAAGAGAAGACTGGGAGAAGACATGGTAAACATTTTCAAGTATATAAATGCTTATTACAAGGAGGAGGGAGAAAAATTGTTCTCCATAACCTCTGAGGATAGGACAAGAAGCAATGGGCTTAAATTACCATAAGGGGCGGTTAAGCACTGGAATAAATTGCTTAGGGAAGTTGTAGAATCTCCTTCATTAGAGATTTTTAGGAACAGGTGAGATAAACACATGTCAGGGTTGATCTAGATAATACTTAGTCCTTCTGTCAATGCACGGGCCTGGATTACATGACTTTTCAAGTCCTACAATGCTATGAACACAGGTGATCCCCTCAGACATGAGATTCCATGACTTGCCACTCAACATGAAACCTGCGTTGTTTGAGCTAAAGCCCATCTTTTTAAAAAAAATCTAGTCTTGATTTAAAGGTTTCAAGTGATGAAGAATACACCACAAACTGTGGTAACGTGTGCAAATGGTTAAATTAGCCTCACCATTAAAAGTGCATCTTTTTTCTGCTCATATTTTTCTCACTCTAGCTTCCAGACATTTGGTTCATTTTGCCTTTTTCTGCTAGATTAAAGAACTCTCTGTTATCAGAAATCTCTTCCCCATCTAGTCTGTAGCCTATGACCACATCACCTCTTTTCTTTGTCTTGGATAAATTAAACAGATGGAGCCTTGTTGGCATCTGACCACAAAGGCACATTTTCCAGACTTTGAATCATTCTTGTTGCTCTGTTTGTTGAACCCTTTCCAATTTAAAGAAAGTCAATTTAGGAAGGCATTAGGAAGAGGAACCTTTTAAGTAGCTCATGCAAATTTTAGGGACTTTTACATAAACTACGACCACGTGACAAGCTAACACTTATGCAGAAGTGTTTTCCAAATCAATGCTATTGGGCTGGATAATGCTTCCCTGTGGAACTCCTTGCCAGAGGATGTTGTGAAGTTCAAGGCTATAACAGGATTCAAAAAAGAGCTAGATAAATTCAGGAGGTTAGGTCCCTTAATGGCTATTCGTCAGGATGGGCAGGAATGGTGTCTGTAGCCTCTGTTTGTCTGAAGCTGGGAATGGGTGGATCACCTGATTACCTGTTCTGTTCAGTCCCTCCGTCTGAGGGAATCTGCCATTGGCCACTGTCAGCAGACAGGAAACTGGACCTTTGGTCTGACCCTGTATGGTCATTCTTACATTCTTTACTACAAGGAAAAGAATCATCCTTCCCTGCTATGTAATTATTGGTGAACTGTTTTGGGCTGCATTACATAGGAAGTCAGACTAGATGATCACACCGGTCTCTTCTGACCTTGATATTTGGGAATCTGTGACTCCAGCATGTGGCTTTAGGAAACACTTTCCCAGTTTTACCTCCTAGGCCTTGACCGCAGAGAGCTGACTTCATTGCCCAGAATGTAGTACTTCCGCGCTTCGTGCAGCAGAGGGATGCACTCCCTGGAGTCCTGGATGATCTCGTCCATTTCAACCTTTTCCAGGAAGTACATGGGATCCAGCAGAGGGAGGCGCACATGCTCAAGGAGATCCTTCAAAGCCTCTTTCCTAGCAGCGGCATCATGCCGTACCCACCGCATCACTGCTTCGAAGACCACTTCCTCTTTGGGGACCACCAGCTGCTCATCTGACAGATACTCAACCAGATCCTTCATGCTCAGCTCCAGGAACTCCTCATGACAGGACACCTCTACGAAGCCTTCCAGCATGAACCGCTTGCTCTTCTCAGCTAGGGAGGCAATGGAGAATGAGTCAGCAAACTTCAGGATGCCCAAGCAGTTGCATGGGTGAAGCTGGCCTTCAAGGAAGGTGACACATGCATCTGTGAGCTTGGAGATCTGAAGCAGGTCGGATAGCTCTAAGATATCTTCAACATTGTCCTCCTGGATTACTATGTTTCCCCCGTACATATAGTCGAGAAGGAGGCTCATGGTGGAGGCAGAGATCTTCTGGATGCTGATGATGTCTTGATGGCCTTCCTTGAGGCTACCGCCAAACATGGCCCGGAAGTAGGCGCTGTTGGCTGACAAGGTGGCACGATGGCAGGGGAACTCCTGCCCATCAATCAAGAGCACTACATCTGTGAAGATGCCGCTCTGCCGGTAGGAGTTCAGAGTCTGGAGGATTTGCTCAGCATGGCAGGACCCGCTGCAGAGTTTCATGTGCAGCTTTTCTTTGCTCTGCTCCCGTGTTGCATTTTCAAGGCTGCTCATTCTGTAGCTGGATTCTTCTTTTATCAGCCTGATTTCAGGGAAGGGCAGAAGGGAAAGATTAATGAACACCAATGATATAGTTGTCAGATGACTGGCAATTAATATCGGCATAGCTCATAAGCCAAAAGATTTTATTGCATGCACTCATTGTAATATTGCAACACACCCTAAGACATTTCAGTATTTTCAAGGCTGCTCATTCTGTAGCTGGATTCTTCTTTTATCAGCCTGATTTCAGGGAAGGGCAGAAGGGAAAGATTAATGAACACCAATGATATAGTTGTCAGATGACTGGCAATTAATATCGGCATAGCTCATAAGCCAAAAGATTTTATTGCATGCACTCATTGTAATATTGCAACACACCCTAAGACATTTCAGTTATAACCATGGTGATTAGTAACATCACAGAAACAGCAG